AACAAACTACATTCCTCTGGTAATTGCTTCCGTGATTCTAGGTGTAAGGACCAACTGAGGTGGCAACTTGCACATGGCATACACTCACGAGCTTCACGCTTCTCTGAGGGGGTTCCCTCGGCTCGGTACTGTTGTGCCTCGGCTCGGCCCGGTACTGTTGTGGCCTCGGCTCGGCCTTTTATGAGAGCATGTTAGAGATTGGGTTGGGCGCCATTCGGATATCTTTTGTATGGACCTCGGCCCACTTTTGGTTCTGATGATGGGTTTGGCCCATCAGTTCGGCCCATAGATGAGTCCTGCAGCTCGCCAGCCTACGTACGTGGTTGGACTGGCCTTTCCAATGCGAGTTAGGCCCAAGTGCTTGAGACTTAGGTGGACTGCCAGTAATGGAGTTGGGCTTGGTTGGCTTGCCCACACGTTCATCTTGACCCATTTGGATTTGGGTTTAGAAAGTTGGACCGGCCCAAGGCTTGGATCCGACCCATTTTATATTTAGCCCATTCACTTGCCTCTAGCTCGCGCTAAGGTTCCCTTGGAGGGAGCTATTGTTCTATCTCCAAGCGTCGCGTCGCTTCGGATTTGCCTAGTTCGGCCTTGGTGACGGTTCAATCCTGACACACACCTCCCTGCCATGTGTCCTTTTTATGGTGATTTCGTGGCTACATGGTATTAGTGCGCACGATAGTGCGCCGATTCCATACGGATGGTCGTGCTTTGTGTACCTTCACGCTGGCTGGTGCAATAAATGCTCTAGAGCTATCAATCCAAGCCCCTTCGTCTGTTTTCAATCTTTTAGAGAGTTCAAGACCCTTTTCGTTCCTCTGAGCCAGTCTCATCGGTGCTCTATCCAAGACGTTCCGCTGCTATTCTCATTTTAGCGCCACCTGCTTGCCACTGCTGTTTTGATCTCTGTAAGTTCCCCTAGGACTCTTCTTTTCCTGCCTTTTTCTGTTTTAATCGTCCTATTTGGCCCTTGCGCCATGTCTCTGGCATCTTGTGTCTGAGTTTTGTTTTGTCCCATTAGGTTTGTTTAATGGGGAAGTTTTGCTCATTAGTTTGATACCCTGAGGCTATGGCCATGTTTTGCCGAGACTATAATATCCCTGATGATGTGACCCTTTCGCTGGCAAAGGTTGATGCCAAGCGCATGGGGCACTAGGAGCACTAGGAGTACTCAGCCCACTTTGATTATGATGATGGGTTCGGCCCATCAGTTCGGCCCATAGATTGAGTCTTGCAGTTCGGCCCAGCCTAGTGTCGCGGCTGGACTGGCCTTTCCACTGCGGAGTTGGGCCCAAGTGCTTGAGGACTTGGGTGGACGGGTCAGTAATGGAGTTGGGCTTAGTTGGCTTGCCCACACATTCATCTGACCCATTTGGATTTGGGTTAGAAGATTGGACCGCCCAAGGCTTAGATCTGACAATTTCATATTTAGCCCCTTCAATCATCATCCTTGCATTGGTCTGTCCTTCATCTAATGTTGCTGCTTATGCTTCCTTTGGAGAAGAAGAACAGAAGCAGTGGCTCTTTTGAAGTGAAAAGCTAGCCTTGACAATCAAAGCCAATCTCTCCTGTCATCATGGTTGGAAGCAATAACCCTTGCAATAATTGGGTTGCAATGGTTGCAACAATGTTGGAAGAGTCACATCTATGAACTTTACAAGTTATGCTTACGAGGTATGCTTCACAATTTTAACTTCTCATCCTTCCCCAGTTCTTCCGGATGGACTTTCGTAACAATTCACCCTCTGGAACCATTCCCCCACATTTCAGTAACCTTTCCAAACTCATCTTCCTTGACTTGTCCCTCAACATCTCTCTGGAACGATTCCATTTGAAAATGTGCCTATTGGCAAATCTTAACTTCTTCGACATGTCCTTGAATCAAATCTCGGGTTCAATCCCCCAACAAATTAGAATGCTTAGCAGTCTCAATGGGCCCTCCTTGCCTCTTTGCATAGCAACTATCTCACAGGTTCAATCCCTGCCTCTATAGGGAACTTGAGTAGCTTAAGTACCCGTTTATACCTCAATTCCAACAAACTCTCTGGACATATTCCTTCCAATATTGGGAATTTGAGGAAGCTCCAGGTGTTGTTCTTATTTCAAAATCAGTTAACTGGTACCATCCTTCCTGAATTGAATAATCTCACATTTTTTGTTGTATTTGCGTTATCTCAAAATGAGCTTACTGGCCAGTTACCACGAGATACATGCTTCGGTGGTTTATTAAGACCTTTGGCAGCAAATGACAACCATATCCAAGGCCTAATTCCTAAAAGCTTGATAAAAAACTGCACCAATCTATGTAGAGTTAGGCTTGAAAGAAATGAACTCACTGGAAATTTGTCCGAAGCTTTTGGGACGTACCCTTCATTGAATTACATTGATCTGAGTTATAATAAATTTTATGGCCAGCTTTCAGAAAAATGGGGTGAGTCTCGTGGTCTGACTAGCTTTAGAATCTCCAACAATAACATTTCGGGAGGCATACCTCCTAAGCTTGCAAAGGCAACACATTTGTGTGTACTTGACATCTCTTCCAATCAACTAGTTGGGGAGATCCCAATAAAATTGGCAAGTTTGATTTCGTTGTTTCATCTCAGTCTAAGTGATAACAAACTTTCAGGAAACATTCCATTGTAAATTTCCAAACTATATGAGTTGGAACACCTTAACTTGGCAGCAAATGATTTAAGTGGTCCAATTCCCAAACAATTAGGAGATTGCACGAAACTATTGAACTTGAATTTGAGAAAAATAATCTTGGGGAAGGTATTCCATTTGAATTAGGTAATTTACATTCACTTCAAAGTCTTCATCTCAGTCGAAACCTACTAACAGGTGTGGTTCCACAAAAACTTGTAGCATTGAAAAGCTTGGAAATTTCCACAATGAACTCCACAGCTCCATCCAATCTACTCTAGATGGAATGTTAAGTTTGGCATTGGTTGACATATCCTACAATCAGTTGGAGGGTCCGCTTCCCAACATCAAAGCCTTTCAAGTTTTATTTGAAGCACTACGAGGGAATACAGGTTTGTGTGGCAACACCACAGGTTTAAAAGCTTGGTCGCTTAACAAGACATTTGGGAAAAAGGGCAACGAAGCTATTGTCTGGATTTTACTTCCATTTTTTGTCATTTTATTTATCCTTTGTGTAGTTGTCTGTAGTTATGTCTTCTAATCTAAGTGAGGGCGAAAGAAACAGAGCTTAAAGGAGCAAACAATCAAAATTTGTTTTCCATATGGAGCTATGACCGAAAATTGGTGTATGATAACATCATTGATGCAACAACTCCAATCATTGCATTGGGGAGGGAGGATTTGGTGTTGTTTATGAAGCTCACTTACTGAGTGGTCAAGTTGTTACTATGAAGAAATTTGAAGTATCACAAGCCGGTGAGTTGGCTCATTTGAAAAGTTTTGCAAGTAAGATCCATGCATTGATGGAAATTTGACATCTTAATATCGCGAAGCTTTATAGTTTTTGTTCACATCCATGACATTTGTTTTTGGTTTATGAATACTTAGAAAGGGAAAGCTTGAAAAAGATACTAAGCAATGAGAAAGAAGCTGTGGATTTTGAATGGATTAAGAGGGTCAATGTTATTAAAGGTGTGGCAAATGGTTTGTTTTATAAGCACCATGAATGTTTGCCTCCGATCATCCATCAGGACATATCTAGCAAGAATGTTTTGTTAGATGGAGAATATATGGCTTACATTTCAGATTTTGGCATAGCTTTTCTAAAGCCTGATTCATACTATTGGACTTCATTTGCAGGGACCATTGGATATGCTGCCCCAGGTATCCATTTTTTGTTGGCATAATTTATTTGCAGCTCACTCACTCATATACAGTTTATTTAATTATTAATTATAATGACATGTTGAAAGATTGTAAGCTTTCCACATGAATGAATTAAATGGGTCTCCATTTCCGATTATATGGTTAGAGATGTCTGATCAAGCTAATTTTTCCATGGATGATCTGTTTGGGTGAGCCCTACTAGATGAACGGTTTGGATCACCAAAGTGAGCTTGACGTTGCCTACAATGAGCAAATTGGACCTCTCCAGCTTGACATTGGCCTACAATGAGCCAATTGGACCTCTCCAGTCCGATTAAGGACCAGAGAGAAGTTTGTTCTTTTCAGCTACATTCATGCTAATCATGATTTGATATTTGAATCTTAGCACTAGCAATTTGGCATTTATCTATTAGTTCCTTAAATTTCCTTGGATTGATGCTTCATCTATGAACTCAACCCATAAATCAATAGCTTGTCCTCATGTGCATGTTAGCGTTGTCAATTTTATGATAATACAATCTATTCAAGTTTCAAAACAGAGCATGACCAACAATTTATTTATTATTATCATTATCATTGTTGTTACTATTATTAATTTATTTTATTTATATTTATCTATATGTTTTTGTAGAATTAGATGGTGGAAGTGAATGAGAATTGTGATGTTTGTAGTTTTGGAGTGCTGACATTGGAAATGATTATGGGGAACCATCCGGGCAGTCTCATCACTTCTCTACCATCATATTCATTGCCATCATGGTCAAAACCAATTGCAGATATTATATTATTGAAGGATGTTTTGGACCAACGCCTACCACCACCCATGAATCAATTGGTGGTAGAGGTGCTTTATATGGTCAAGCTAGCATTGTCATGTTTGCGTATTAGTCCAAAATCATGACCCACAATAACACAAGTTTCTGCAAATCTATCAAAACAAAAACCACCTCTTCAAAATCAATTCTACGAGATTACTATTGGAGAATTGTTTGATGATATCAACAAATCAACTTCTTAATTGCCGCATGTTCCTTGTATTATATGTCTTTCTTCATTTTTCTATTTCAGTTTATTTATAATGTGTTTCTCTGCTTTCTACATTGTAGTGCTCGGATGATATAAGTAATTTCACACATTCCATATTGTGATCTTGTAGTAGACTATACCTTACGAAAAATTCCTTAATCGATTAAGTCTCATATGCAACCCGCAAGGCTAGCCTATCCTCATTGTGCCCTAAAACAAAATCTCAGTCAGAGGCTTCTTAATATTTAAATATTCATTTAAATGACATTTATTATTTTTTATGTTTGGAATATTTTATGTAAAGTTTGTTTTCTTTTTCAATTCTTGTAGCTAAAATTGTGGGCTTTAATATTGGGGTACCTTTCGATAATGATACTTTTAGTTGGGGCACTTTGCAGGCACTAAAGTCCTCCGTCGTTTCAATAATGACAACTCGTTTGCAATATGGAGTTATGATGGAAAAATGGTGTATGAAAACATCATTCCAGTGACAGATGACTTTAGTGTTGAACATTGCATTGGAGTGGGTGGTTATGGCATCATATATAAAGTTGAGATAGCAAGTGGTCAGGTTGCTGCTATAAAAAAAACTTCATTCTTCGTAAGATAGTGACTGGGCTAACCTAAGAAGTTTTACAAGTGAGATTCTTGCATTGACAAAGATATGACGTCGTAATATAATAAAGCTTTATGGTTTTTGTTCTCATCCACAACACTTATTTTTAGTTTATGAGTTCATAAAAGGGGAAGTTTGGAAAAGATATTGAGCAATGACGAAGGAGCATTGGGTTTTGAGTGGACTAAATGTCATTAAAGGTGTGGCGGATGCTTTGTCATACATGAACCATGATTGTTTGCCTCCGGCCATTTATCGCGATATATCAAGCAAGAATGTTTTGCTAGATTTAGAATATGTGTGTCACATCTATTATTTTGACACTGCTAGACTTCTAAAGACTCAATCATCCAATTGGACTTTGTTTGCGGGAACCTTTGGATATGCAGTGGCTGTTCTTCAAATCAACAAGAAAATTACTTTCTTTTTTTTCCCCTCCTACTTTTATGGCACTTTTTTTTTTTTTCTCTAAATCATAGTATGCAAATCCTTTTATACTATTCTTCTTAATTTTCCATTAACATACTGTCTTTTATTTTACCCTCTATACCTTTATTTTCTTTGCTCTATTTTTTTTTTATTTTTTTATTTTTGTCAGAACTTGCTTACACAATGGAAGTGAATGAGAGGTTGGATGTTTATAGCCTTGGGGTTTTAGCACTGGAAGTGTTAATGGGGAAGCATCCAGGCAATCTCATCTCTTCATTCCTCATCACCACCTACTACTTATGGTATATTGTTGAAAGATATATTGGATATATTGTTGAAAGATATTTTGGATTCACGCCTCCCACCTCCTAGGACTCGTGGAAAAAGAAGTGGTCCTGGTTGCAAAGCTAGCATTGGCATGTTTGCACACTAGTCCACAGTGCCAACCAACAATGCGATAAATTTCTTTGGCACTATCAAAACAGAGGCCTCCCCTGCAGAATCCAATCCACTTGATTTCATTGGGACAACTCATTGATGCCAACTGCTCAACATCTTGAGCATTCTCATTTTCCCTTTATTGGTGATATGGCATTGTTCTTCCATTTCTACTTTGAAATTTTGATTTTCACTCTTTTCCGTTATCTATTTCTCTACCATTTTCTGTATTCAAAGTCAAAAAGACATTGAAATACTGTTTGAAAATAAAACTTGTTCCAAGAGAAGGCTACTTTCGTTTTTAGAGAACTTATGAGAGTTACCCCTTTTCATTTTCCTTTATTGTCTATTTTTCTATATACTTTTAGTGAATCAAAGTGATCAATGACTCAATAACAAAAAGATGGGGAATGAAAGAAGGGAAGTATTTGGGTGTGTAAAGTGCATATCATATCTACTTGTGTAAGATCTCACAAATATACGTAAGTTATCTCACAAAATTGCATAAATATACGCAAGTTTACCCATAAAAATTTGAGAAATCACAATTTACGTATATTTGTGAGAACTTACGTAATTTTGTGAGATAACTTATGTATATCTGTGAGAACTTATGCAAGTACATATGACATGCACTTGCACACTTAAGAATTGCCCATAAAGAAAATGATAGCATTCAATTTGGAGGATTGTAAACAAAATACAAAACAGTGATTCCCCCCAAAAAAAAACCCCCTTCTTTATCTTTGCCATTTTCCTCTTCCTCTCTTCCTTGCGAACCATAAACACACCCACCCTCCTGACACAGTCTCATGGGATATCTCTCAGTTAGTCAACAAAGTTGGACTTAAAAATAGACTGAAAACTCGAAAGAGAATAGAACTCCAATTAAACAAACATGGATTTAATGGCACATTAAAAAAAAAAAACTCAACTCTTAGCTATAAGCTAATAACATCAATGGAATTTAGATTTAAGCATCTCTCACCATTCTCCACAGAATTTGATAAGATTTCTTCCACATGAAATCCTTGCAAATTGTTGTTGATGTTTGATGAACAATTGAATAGTTAATAATCTATCATTCGGGCGTAATAATCGTTCACTAAAACTAAAAATATAAAATATAAATATAAATATAAAAATCACTAAAATCTTGTTTTACATCACGAAGGGGTATCATTTTGGTTCTGAATTTAGGAGTGAAGTGCTTAGAATTGTGGTTTCAAAAACATTTGGTCACATGATATGATCAGGAATACCATTCATTCATCAAATAGAAATTTACATTAGTGCATAAAATTCTGGATTCAAAAAGGAATTAATGCTTGGTTGGGACCCCACAACTTTGTTTGAGAGTGATTATCAACCCAAGAGTCTAGAGTTGGGGATTGTTAGTGTACGAATTGACTGCATTTGAAGTTTTGATAAGAATGGTTATACGTCTCAAGTTGTGTAGAAAAATGGTTTAAGTAATTTATTTATGAAAAAAAGTATTAGATGCTCTTAGAGCAATGTTCCAAGCTATTTATCAATCTCATGATATCTTTTAAAACATCAACTACAAAAATAACGTATCTCACCGTCTAAACAAAGAACTATTTAATTTGAGCATCGCATAAATTTGCTAAAAAACACTTACTATGTGTTTGGTGACGTTTACATTTTCAGTTTATATTTACAAAAATTTTATAAACTGGTTTTTGTTTATTTTTTGTTTATTTTTAGAAAAACATAAACTACAAACGCGTTTGGTAATTGACAAAATGTTTAAAAAAATTTAAAAATATAAAAAAGAGTGAGAAATGGCAAGTAATGGCAAGTGGCGGCGGAAGACGGTGGTGGAAAGTGGTGACGGTGGGTGGTGGGTAGCTGGTGGTGGCGGGTGGGTGGGTGACGATGGCAGGTGGTGGGTGGTAGTGAGTGGGAGGTGGTGGTGGCGGGTGGCGGGTGATGGTGGGTGGCGGATGGCGGGTGGTAGTGGGTGGCGGGTAGGTGGCGGGTGGTGGGTGGTGAGTGGCCGATGGCGGGTGGTGGGTGGTGGTGGTGCCTATTGACCATCCAAAAATCCTAAATACATAATTTTGTTAATAAATAAATGACAAAGGGGGTTGAATAAGAAAAATATGTAATTATTACATTAATTGAAATTTAAATTTAATATTAAACAGGGACGGAACCAAGATTTCATGTTCAAGGGGGCCAAAATATAGATAAAAAGTTTTGGCTATTGGATATAAACTATCATAGATAATGGTTAGCCAATTAATAGAGCCGTAAATCTCATTAAGAAGTCGGTAGTTGAATTCATTCCTCATATCTAGTGTATCCAAAATACAAACTATTAGATTTTTCTATAATAAAAAATGAGAAATATACTAAGACTGAATGCTAAATTAATACATAAAAAATAAAACTAGTATTGGGCCTTAACAAAAAATTACAAATAATTGTTTCTTTCTTGATATATTTCAGCTCAATCATTTATCAAAGCAGAAGTTAATATTCTTTTAAACATCAAAAGTCTTTTGTCCCTGACCCTAGATTAAAATTTTAAGTAATTTCTTTTACAATGTACACAAACAAATACTCTGTGAGAAAATCATCCTCTATTTTTGTAACGGCCCCGAAATGTGTGTTACAATTATTTTTCTTAATTATGCATTAATATGAATTAATTTGAGAATACCTGTCGAAATTGGAGAAATATCTATTGGGGCTACGACTTTGGAACTGAAATTGATGACCTTAATAGATTTAGAAACCGAAATTGAGTATAAGGATATGCTAATGGAAATTTTTAGAGCCATTTGGGAAATTTAATTAAAAATGGTAGGTAGGTGGCGGTGGCGGTGGCGAGGGATGGATGGTGGTGGCGAGTGGGTGGCAGGTGGGTGGTGAGTGGTAATGGCAGGTGGTGGTGGGGGTTGGGTGGTGGTGGCGGAAGACGGTGGTGGAAAATGGTGGCGGTTGGTGGCTAGTGTTGGGTGGTAAAAAAAAAAAACTCAAAACTCAAAACGGAAACACATTTTTTGAGTTTACATTTTTTGACAAAATTTATAAACTGAGACCACTGATTTATAAATCAAAAATTTTACCAAACAAGTTTTTATTTGAGTTTTTAAAAATTTTATAAATATAAACAGAAAACTAAAAACGTAAGTGTTACCAAACGGCGAAAGTTTCTCATGTTTGTGGCTCAAAACCAATTATTCTTTGCTTATTTGGTCTGCCATCATGACACTAATGAAGCTATTTTATCCCATGTATATAATATACATGGGATAGCCATCATGACACTATTTATCTCATGTATATAATATACACGGATAAAATATTTTACCAAAATCCTTTATCTTTTTTTGTGACTTCTTACGTGTCGTAGTGGGTTTCATTATTTTTTTTATTTAACATATATAGTACATCCTACTAAAATATTTTAGTATTACTGTGTCACTTCTTACATGGGCTTAATTTTAGCCTTTTCCACTAAATTGTTACATTGTTGCTAGTGATCTCTCAACACAAACCAACCCATCAAAATGTTAAACAAGTCATGCCTTCGAGCATTGGCATGGAAGTGCTGACATGGAATGACCTTGGTGTATGTATAGAATGCCACGCATGCAATTGTTGACCCAACCCAGAAAACCTAGTGCCCATTCCAAAGATGGCCTCCTCTCACCATAATCGGCCCAAAACACCTTGTTGGGTTCATCTCAGCTCCGGCATATCCTTTCGTGGTCATGACCGTGGTTGAGATGAACACCAAAAGACCAATCACTAATCCAACAATCGAAAAAACAACAACACGGCCTAATGCCATTGCTTGGCGATCTTCGAAAGCAATCCATATTGAAGCAAAAAGGAACACAAAAGTGCATATGATCTCGAGCCTAAGTGCCTGGCCTATTGCAAGGCCTATCACAATGAGCCCATTTGGCCCAAGTGCAATGACTGGGAGGGTACAACCCCCAAGTAGGGATAGCAATTTAAACCTGGCCCGACGGGGACCCGTCCCGACAAGTCGGGTTTTTCCCGAAAATTAATCCTCGTAGGGCCGGGCCCGATATTAAAAAATAGATCCCCGATGATTTTCGGGCCGGGGACGGTGATATGTGCCCCCG